CCAAATGGAGTCCTTTGTAGGATTATATCAGGATTATGTCCTCTTTTAGTTCCCTTCCCTTCCTTAAACATTTGCTTTCACCAGACTTGCACACCAAACTGGTTCATAGTGTTCAGAATTAACACACTCGTTATTCAATTAAGCACAAAGAATTACAGGCATTTCTAGCTTATTCACTCTAATAACACAATTCAGTGCTTTGGAACTTCACAGTGTGCCCGTTCACTCCCAAATGGCCTTTTTGGTTCTACTTTGAGTTCCTCCTCTTTTTATAGCTGCACCTACACATTGGGTAGAAGCTAATACAGATGTCCCCTGCTATCACATACACAGTCGTAATCATGCATTTTTATCCCTGCAACCAAATGACAGCTTGTGCTGTGCTGCACCAAGCTCCATGCAATATCTAAATCTGGAAACCTTCTAATTTTCTTTAGCTGCATACTGACAAAATTGGAATTTCATGGCTCACCTCATCCTAACGTGGGCTTGCAGTTGTTGCCTTTGAGGGGCTCATAACCTCAGAGTTGCATTTGATTCTCCGGAGCATCTTATTAACCAAATGGGGAAGCTCTCACTTTAGAAACCCAGGTAGTTCTTCACGCCACTGTGACCTGCACTGGTGCTGTTTTTCTCATATGCTTTCATCATATCTTACTGCTGTGATTTTGTAACTCTCTCAGTGCTGGCCTGACTACCACATCCATTAAACACTCGTATAAGTTGACATCGTGACTTTCAGAGCACACTGCAAGGTCAGGGTAGCCTGACACCGAAGAAACATTATTTCACAAGGAATCAATTACACCCCCACAACCAACCTCAAAAACATTACTTGCTGTTACATAGAGAATTTCTTCAGACTTCCTTACTCCTTTCTAGACTATTTTTTCCAGAGATCAGGATAGATACAAAGAAAAATCTCATCCACCCCCAGAGAGAGAGATAAATCCCTTTAGCTTATACCTTTGCCTCAGAAGGAGGAGCAGTGTAGTCACTTTTAATATTGCCTTCAATAGCTACAGAAAACTCTCACCCTGGTATGATCCTTAAGATAAACAGAGCTGTTAAGTGTGACTGCTTTAAGAATACCTAAAAGCAGTTTTAGAAGCTCCAACAACAAGAAGCAATCAGCTATCTACTATTGGTCATTTTATGAAGACACAACTGGAAGAGTCTATTTTAAATACTTTTACAAATGAGCAACAGTGGAAATATAAACATTATTCTAATGGAATTGCAGATGACAGATGAAGCAGAAACAGGGAACAATCCCTGTATTCCAGCACCTCTGAGTGCTCTAAGCAGCTCAATACTTAGTGTCCCGGCAGCCCTGAGGCAGGGGGACCTTTGCAGCTCTCCCCGCCGTCCACGTCGCGCCGTCCCTGCGGGGCAACACGGGGCCATCCCGGCGAACACGGTGACCCAGAAGCCAAAGACAGAGCGTTCACAAGTTATTCCAGACATCACCTATGCAGCTACATGCAGTTCTTTGTATTTACAGCCCCTTCTATGCTCTGCTCAGTGTAGTAACCTGAATGCATCAAGAATATAGTGGGAGACTGTTAAAAGTGGAGTAAAATACTCTGGTTTTCCAGTCTCCTTCTTAAGTACAATTTAAGCAATAAATTTATAACCTTTTAAGCTAAGGTTCCTAATCCTTCCATACCCTTCCATAGCCCCTCCTTTTTTCCCCAGAGAGAGAGAGAAAAGTCATCCTCTGGAGGCTTTTGAGACACAAAATTCAAATAGACAACCAAATTCAATAGACAAGAGATCTTCTAATGCTTATTTTGACAATTTCCAAGCTCTGATTTGAAAATACAAAAAAACCCAATAATCTAATGAGTGGATGTTTGCGGAGAAATCCAAGTTTCTGACATGATTAAAAAATGAAGGAAAAAAAATCGATTTGCTGCTTAAAGTCATCTCCCCCAACACCATGTCAAACTAAGCATCCTCTAACAGCAGCATTCAGCTTGCTAGGCTAAGCTGGGACCTAAAATTACTTTATACCCACCCAGAGAGAAAAAAAAAAAAAAAAAAAAAAAAGGCACCAAACCCGCCCTGCAGTTTGCCTGACAGTAACAGGAAGGCGTTCTACACGACGGGTTTCCTTCTTCTCTCTTTGATAGCATAGCTGCATGTGCATGGCTGCCTCTGCTTCCTGAGCTGCTGCTTGAGAACACCAAACAATGACAAAGGCACCACTCTGCCACCCTTATTTTAACATGTAGCCTCTTGGCTTGCTCTAAAGCCCTGGAGGAGCCTGGTTAACGCTCCAGCTGCCTCCAAACACTTTAGGTTGCTACCTAAAGCCACACGGCCAAGTACAGGTCAGGATGGGCAAAAACAGGAGCAAACCCCTGGGTGTTCAAAGATGAAGGAGAGGTAGCCAACAAGCCTTGGCTTTTACCCAGAATGAGGCAGCTGCATCAGGGATGCTTCAGATATTAAATCTAGATATAAGAAAGTGGAATGCGTACTGTAGCTCTCTAATTTAGCAGCTATCTAATGCTAGCATGTGGGATTTCCCACCCAAAGATGCCTCAAAACCTTGTCAGCAAAGATTAGAAACTTGGACTCCTGACTCCAAAGCCCCTCTGGGACCTGTTTTAGGAAAGCACCAAGTGCTTTTTTTTTTTTTTTTTTTTTTTTCTTCCTATTACAAAGCACTATTAAACAACAAAAATAAAAACAGTATAAGGCAAACTGTCATAGAGAAGACAATTTAAGGTAGGGCTTTAACGTGCTGGTCCCGCACAGAGCAGGCCTTATCTGTTGCCCTTCCAGCACCGACGGCCTCTCCGAATGACTTGAAGAGCTTGGAGCAGTGGCACCCGGTGAGCCCGGCCCGCGTTGCTGCTCCCAGGAGCAGCAGCTCATGCGAGTGACTTGAGCCGAGGAGGTTGGAGCAGTGGCACCCGGTGAGCCCGGCCCGCGTTGCTGCTCCCAGGAAGAGCAGCTCATGGGGAAGCAGCGAGGCAGGAGCAGCAGCTCGCAGCGATGCAGCCACTGCCTTCGTCAGCCGAGCTCCTGAGGAAGCGCGGTGCCCCGCCGGGACAACGGTCAGGTTTGGTGCTTCTGGCAAGACGGCGGCAGCAAATACTTGGGAAAAGTGAGAAGAAGGCAGCGCTTCTAGGCTGATGATCTCTCCCCCGCTACTTTACAACTGCAGGTAGGTAGCAGCCTAGGGTTTTTCCAAGTAGAGATTTAAATCTTATGGCATTCCACAAATAAACGACTCTTTTGACCCTATCACATTGAAGGAAAGTCCCATCGCAATGAGCTCCAATGCTAAATTACACAGCGTGATGAAATAAAAATTAATTGAAATTCACTGCCTGTTCACTTCAGCGAACGCCTCTTAAATCTTACAAGTTGGCAAACATTCCCAGACCAAAGTCATGGAGGACGTCAAATGGTCCTCTATCCTATTCTAGGTTGTAGAATTGCAGATGCAGACAGAACAGGACTTTAATTGTAACATAACTTTTTTCTCCCAGTTTTGCGATTTCTTTCCTTTTTAAAATTTCATTTGCTTTTTTCACTGCCATGGAGCAGTAACCTAACACTTGCCAAGAAGCATAGATGCTGAGAGCAAGATCCTTTTCTCAGCACAGCTTCCAAGTCTTCACTGTAGAAAAACAATCTTAATTGTAATGCACAATGTGCAGTGATTTGCATTTATTAAAGCTAAATTGCCCCTGCCACTTCAGAACCCGGCTACTCAGTATCAGGAGATCTTGCTGAAATTCTCTAAAGCTTTGTAATTCACTAACTCGAGTATATTTTGATTTCAGCATAAAGTCACACAGCCATAAAAACATTCTCTGGAGTAAAGACGAAAATTTTCCTATAAGTAGAGTCTGTACATCTCCACCCCGGGGCCTTGAATAGTCAGTGCAGAGAAAAAATTTAAAAAAAAAAAAAAAAAACAATGTAATACCTTGTTCTCATGTTTAAACCTCAGTGAATGCAGGAATAGAAGACCCAAGAATGACCTTTTAAAACAGACTACTTTGTATAAGCTTACTGGAAGGTAAGGGCTGTTGCCGAAACAGTCATACAGTCGTATATCAACAGTCATGCAGTTATATATTTAAGTGTAAATTTGCATTAGCTAGAAACGTGTAATGGTACATCCAGATTTACATTTTGTAGATCTGGAAGAAAACCAAGTCTTGATAAGCAACAGGAAGAGCTGAAAATAGAAACAGAGGCCAGCTGGTCTCTTTTGCCAAACGCAAAAGCTTCAGTGAGTTTTATACTGTGCCTCCTAAAAATGAAAGGCTTGACTTTCAGCAAAACGGCCCCTGTGAAAAGGTTATCACCAGGACCACTCACCTGTACTTCTAGGAGCAGGAACTGCTGCAGTGCTTTGTACTGAGCTTGCAGCAGAACGTGTGACTAGGATCTTACAGATATTTAGGCTTGTAGACCCTGTTTAAAAGGTCTGAACAGCTTTAGGTGTAAGACAGGTGCCAACACGCTTCATTTGGAGACCACAACAGGTCCAAGCATACACAGGATGCACAGGAGCTGGTTTACATGCACTCAGGGAACCTTATCGGACCCTCAGGTTTTGTCAGCAGATAAAGCCTAAAAAGCAGATATGATTTTGAGACCAATGTTAGATACACATACCTTTAAAAACAGCGCAGAGCCATAATGACCATGTTGGGCACCAAAATACTAGTCAGGAGAAAAAGTGCTTCATCATGTTGGGAGAAAGGAAGTATCAGACTGGAGATCTGATATTTCCATCTAAAGTATGAAGGTTTTAAGATGAAGCTAGTCACCACTTCACCTTTAACTTGCCTCTCCTATTAGACCTATATTTAGACTAGTGCAGGTTACTAAAACTGTGCATAGGACTGAAAAAACAACACCTTAACACTTCTTGGAAAATGGGTAGCTGTACTGCTTAGTTTAAAGTGATTTCACAGAACAAGCTTACAAGACAGTATTTTATTATATAATTGCAAAAACAATTAAAAGACTAGCACAATGACAGAGACTGAAAAATAAATCAGCCCTAGGCAGAGGAGCAAAGTTAACAGTAATCCTAAGAGGAACTCCTCTTAGCTCCCCTAATTAAAAAGATTTCACCCCCAAGTTTCTGCTGTAGACACTAACTGCATGGGGTCTTCTCCCAGATGTTCCTCTGGATTTAATTTAGAAACACATCATTGTCTTCAGCAGCTGCCTTGCTGGCAGAAGTTGCGAGAGATCAAAGACAGTGTTGGGAACTAAAAAAATGGTGTTGCAGGGAGGACAGAAGGCTCCCTACAGGTTTTTTTTATTAAATGCCTTCAACACCAAGACAAATCCATATTACAGATAACCATGTATCCCTTTACAAAATGTACATTATATACATACAGCTATATAAAACAGCACTATTTCAATCACTGAGTTCTTCCTCATCACTGAAATAAGTGCTTTTCTTAATCCGTGGACGTTTTGAATCATCTGAAATCGACAGTTCTCCTGCGGTCTGTGTCCATCTTTGTTCCTCTTCCTCAATTTTGGCTTGCTATAGTGGAAGATTTGAAAGCATTTAGTCTATCAAGTATAGTACTTGAAAGCAGTAAGAAACATTAAGATGCATTACAGACTATAATTATCAGAATGTACTGAGTTATTTCAGAAGAATTCCAAGGCTTTCCCTTCATTTCTGGACAGACTAACTGATGAACGCACTGATAGCCTTTCTGAAAGTCATTTTCCCTTACAAATTGTAAAAATGTCCTCTAAACCAAACGCAGGCTGCAGGCAGTACCCTTCACTTTTCAAAGGGAGGACCTATATACGCACAGTAAGCTTTCCAAATTTTAGGTTAGTTGAGGTCTGAAGCCACCCTTATGTTGCATTACAAACTGGCATTATTGAAGCACTTAGTCCTACTAACTTCTCTCTTGCCTTTGGCAGTCATTAATCCACATCCTCAGCAGTAGAAAAATCTAATTTAACTTTCAACTGATTAATTTTCACATTTTTTACTTGGACACATGACTTCCCAATTGAAAACTTAGGATGATGAAAGAAACTGAAGTATTTCCTGGCTTATTTACCACTTAATTTCCAATGGTGGAGTATTTTCAGTTGGGTAATTTTACATACTTGCAACATTTTTTCAGACTAAATCACGTAAGAGTCTTTTCTCACCTTGACACAGTTACATTAAGGATAAGGTGACCTTAATAACTCTGAACTTTTTAAAAAGGGCAAAGGAACAGCTGAGGACTGGGGAGCCATGAAATTTGAACCTCAATTCAGGCTTGGTTTGTGCAGTGAGGTAAAAATCTGTGCAGATGCAGAAAAGTGTCAGTGATGATACAGCTGTCAGCCTAGCAATACAACTAAAGCTGCATTAAACATGTCCTGAGGAAAAGGTTCTAGAGAAGACAGTGATGGATTGTGTTTGCTAAAGGAAATGCTCCAAAAACAGGTGTTCAACGTTTTTCTTCAGTGAGCAAGGGCAAAGGACGTACCTGTTCGTTTAGACATGATTGCTTTTCTGGATGCTCAGTTACTAGGGTAAAAGGGGATCTGCAGACCAAAAACCTAATGGAGCGTTGCAGCAGATATGACAGGGAACTAAGCAGTGAAAGAGCTTGAAGGAAAGGATGAAAAACTTCAGTTTGAAAGCACAGATAGCAAAAGTGAAACAGTACAAAAAGCCTCAACATGCCTGCAACATGAAGAAACAAATTGCACTCTACAACTGCTGTCAGGCACAGCGCTCAGACAGCTACACAATGGAGAGTCTTAAAGGTGCCTCTTATAGTCTGTAAGGCTGCTTTTGAAAGGCAAGTACAAGAGGAAGTTTAATTGTGCTTATAAATAAATATACAATGCTCCAGTTTTGTACCTGAACAGCTATGGCCTGGCTGAGGCTATCTAGTGCAGGGTCTTCACCTTCTTCTTCACTTTCTTCTTCCTCCTCACTTCATATAAAGAGAAAAACATGTAAACCTCTATGTCAAGCAGTCAGTATGCAAAAAGGCTGGCTAAAAGTAGGAGCAGCATGTAAATAAATATACATACATTTCTTCTGGTTCAACCACTTTCTTTTTCTTCTTCTTTTCTTTTTTCTTTGGTGGCTCTCGCTCTCCTAGCATATTTTTAGGACAAGCATAACTTAAGTGCCCAGCTTCCTTGGAAAGAGAGAAGGAAAAGAAATACTGGTTACAAGAAACCATTATCAAAAATTATATGTTGAAATAAATCAGGAAGAAAGTTAACATAACAAACAAAGGCAACAAAATACAATTTATAGTGAAAAATATGAGGCAATTAGTAAGATAAATGGAATTACCCACTGGACGATGTACCAATGTATTAGTACACAGAAGGCAAAATCGTATTTAGAAATTTGCCATGGAAACTAAGAGGTTGGTGGTGATATGCATCTTTAGCCTCAAATTCAGAACACATTATAAACAAAGCAGATTTTATTGTGTTGAACACACTAGAATGCAGTTTATGTTCAAGATCAGATGTAAAACGCAGCCTTAGCAGTTTTAGGTATGACAGTCAACATTTCTGCTCTCAAAAACATTTAGAGATTTATAGAATTCAAGTTTCCGTTTGGTGTTAAATTATCTAAATCTCAAGTGTTCAAGGTATTATATTCAAGATAAAAGAGGAATGGCTTATAACAACAACAAAAAGACTATTCTGTGCAAAATCCGTTGTTTCTCACATTTATTTTAGCCCCAACCATGTCAAAAACATCCTAAGAGACAGCAAAAGCAGACAATCTGAAGCGAAGATGAAAGGCTTTCCTTCTCACACAGCATTATATTGGTAATAGGCAGCTCTGCCTATTCACCAACACTTTATACAACTGTCACAAGCATTTATCTTCTCCTCACCCAAAATTCCACATTAAATCAGCAACTGCTACTATCCTTCTAGATCTCACTGTTACAAGAGCTGACAATACTAGGAGCAAGAAGTGCCCACCATATGCAATGTTAGCAACGGTCAAACAGAAGGAAAAAACAACTAGAAAGCAAAGATGGAAATATTTCCATCTTTGGAATGGAATTCTCTACAAAAATCAATCATTTTTGATTTTACTCACCCCACATTCATAACATTTAGACTTATCGAAGTAGTTTCGCCGGCGAATGAATTCTGCTGCTCTTCCATTATCGATGGCAATACTTGCCTTTATTACTCTTCCAAATAACTACAGCAAGTTGGGGAAAAAGAGATAAGTAAATATTTGGGGGCTCTAAATCCAGCCCTTTTGCCATAATAACTTTCTCCAACTTACCTGTTTGTTATTGAGTGCTCGAGAACAGTTTTGTGCGGATTCCTTATCCAAAAACAAAATAAAGGCAACTCCTTTGCTCTTCCTGGTGTCTTTGTCTTTCATAATAGTAACTCTGAAACACAACCACATTACTGATATGCTAAAATCCTTTCAGAGAGATTTTTCCTTAGTTTTATTTTAGTTATATTTTATAGTCATATAAAAATATACTCTTTAGACATGCAGATAAGGTAGCTGGAGTCAACTACACATATTGGAAGCAGAATTAAGATTCGGGAGTAAACTTGGTCATTGTTACAGCTACTGAAAGATGAGGTGTACTGAACTGTACCCAAGCTGAGAATTCTGTGTTTGGGTACAAAGAGCCAAGTTCAGCACAGGGAATTGTTCCGCAAGGATCAATAGAAAAAAAAAGGAATGATGATCAGGGAAAGAGCAACCCAATTTCACCTGTTTCAATCTTTTGTCAAATTTAGTCTTAAGAAAGCACTATGTGCAAAAAGGCACATAAGCTACAGGATTGTAGCCTTCATGTAAGAAAAAATAAAAGTATACGTTAAAAAGAAGAAAACAAGCTCTGTGTCCTCTCCAAGTCCACTACAAGCCAAAAGAAGTTCAACCATAACACAACCCAATTAGGCAAGAAATAAGACTTCTTTTGCTCCCACAAAAAAGCAGGTGGTCTGCATAGGTAACAGATGCATTTTAAAATCAGAGCCTCTTTCACAAGGATGGGCTCACAAGGAGTGAACGCCGAATTGAAGTGTCAATGACTGACTTTAGAACAATTCTATTAATTCTTTTGCTATATTGCAAAGAATTCTTGCCCTCCCAAGAATTCCAATGGAACTCTTAACATGAAACTGTTAAAAGTTCTGGTATTTAGTGCTCCTGTTAACAGCACAGCAATGGAAAGAAACAAGCGTCAGGAGCCTGTAAGAAGTTAGCAACTTCTTGGAGCCCTAATAAGTTTAAGAAGATAGCCAAAAATCTTAACAAAACCAGCACACATTGGGATAAGCAGTTTGGTAACAAGTCGGTGTGATTTTGTTGACCCAAGTCACAACTCGGAGAAGCCCAAGTCAAAGCTGGCCTAGACACCATCATCACAGAGCTTTTGGGGAAGTGTTTCAAAATCCCTCACCAAAGACTTTACACATATCAAGCTGTCTGCTAGAAAGAAAATCAGGATCAACTTTCACACTGAAGTTAACCCACTAGTTCAATTCCACATTATCTGCACCGTTCAGAGTCACAGCAGCTTGCAAAGTGGCAAACATAGATAAAGGTTTGCTAGGGACACAAAATTATTCATGGTAATATTGTCAGATATTGTCATGACTTTTTGCATTCAGTTTTACTTTTGGCAACGATGAGATGTAAAGTCAGGAAAAAATTAGGAACAAGTAATATTTGCAAAATAATACAAGGGGAGAGTACAACAATTATAACTCTGCAGTTAGAGTGTGAGTTCAAAGCTGTATTCACACAGACACACAAAAGGATTTATTCTGCATGGGCACTTTAAATCACCACTTCCATTCCCTATGGCAGTTGGAAAAAAAGGCAAGGAGAACATCAGGAACCATAAACTAGTAAATACAGAAAAGAGAGGGAGAGAGCACCCTGCTGTGACACCTTTCAAGTAAACAACACATCCTAATCAGCATTTCATACTGTTCTGCTCCTCCTTCCGAGCAACTTCACAAGCCAAAAGAACAGGACAGTGGCCCCTCACAACGGCTCCACACCTAGACTCTGGAAAACCGGGAGGTCAGAAGGGACAAGTTTATGGAAACAGGTCTAATAGGTCAGGACCTACGAAGCACTAACAGTATTACAACATTTGGCTCAGCATTTTTCTAAACCAGTAGCTCAAAAAGAGACTAGAAGAGGTCACACAGTCCCATTCTGAAAAGAAGACGACTGTCGCAGCTCGGTTCATTGTCACTGCACATCTGCCAGAGTCCCACATAAGGGTTGTCCTCTCAAAGCTGCTTTAAAAAACATGTTTTTCAAAAGCTGTTTTGTTGCTTGAGTGACATTTTGTGCTCTTTTGTCACCTGAAATACACTGCTGAAGACAGTAACTCTGAATTTAGCTCCCTGTCTCACAAATTATTGCAGTATTATTATCTACAACTATGGTTGTAAAGGAGCACAGTGTGCAACTATGGAAGCTTACTTATTTACCTAAAGAAAAATATTGTTTCAACTATCCTTGCAGACAAGAGACACAAGTATACAACATTGTATCTGCTCGGGACTAGTGGTTAGCAAAACAGGACTTGCCTCCAACTGCAATATTTCCACATTATGCATGTACCTGTGAGAGCTCCCAGACATGAAATTTTTTACTTTATTAAAAAATGAACTGCCCTTTATTAGATTTCACATCTCACACAAATTATAAAAAGCACAAGACAGTCAAGGGGAGCAAAGACATTAAATATTTAAAATCATAGCTTCAAAAATAGCAGGCCATAATGAGGGCACTTACTTGACAACTTTCCCATATTTTGAAAATATCTGAAATAAAGAACAAAACAGTCAATTTTAACCAGAGATTATGGCATTTCCTTGGTAATAAATGTATCAAGACATGCTTCATAAATAATAAGCATGTATTAATCTTGCACTTACACTTGAACTAGTCATTATCAATTTCAATATGAACAGAGTAACTTCTCAACACGGACTGCTCACCCTGTACAGATCGTTGTTGGTCAGAGCAAAGGGCAGGTTGGACACGTACACGGTGCTTTTGCTGGGCGCCAGCCCGCCGCTCATTTTCCTGACGAAAGGAGAGAAAGAGAAGAGTTAATGACCTGCAGCCAACAAAGAGCCGGGTGACCCGAGCAGCAAGCACAAGTTGGGCTGAAGAAAGAAACATGCAGTCTTCCACTTATTAAATATTCTGGGCAATATATAAAAAAGTAGCGGCTTTTGTTCAAGTACCTGCACAATCTGATTCTTTATGCAACAGCCAAGCTGCATTCAACACAGAATAAATCACAACTGATTTTGAATAAAATAAAATAAAATAAAATAAAATAAAATAAAATAAAATAAAATAAAATAAAATAAAATAAAATAAAATAAAATAAAATAAAATAAAATAANAAAATAAAATAAAATAAAATAAAATAAAATAAAATAAAATAAAATAAAATAAAATAAAATAAAATAAAATAAAATAAAATAAAATAAAATAAAATTCCTTCTTTAAAGCAAGAGTCCTAATTCCTGAGGGATCCTGCCTGGCTCAAAAGTGCTGCTAACCAGTATTTTCTCAGTCTTGTGCCTATTGCTCCTGCTTCCCCACTGCTCTGGAGCTGCCAGTCTGCTGAGCTGCTTATGGAAACAGCTCCCCTAGAGCGGCTCCTGCTTCTGAAAGGCCAATTCTGTGAGCAGGAATCAGGGAAATCCTGAAGCCATTTTCTTTTGTAAACACCTTTAAGCTCTGAGAATAAGTAGCCAAGGATATGCCTAGAAATAATAAATGAATTCAAATTTTAAGCATTGTGTTGCAACTGCATGCAGACAAGATAACACTGGGTAATGAACTAAAAGGGAGCACTCTGTTTTTCCTTGGGTCTGGATTCTTTCCCCATAGAAATCTGTGCTAAGCATTTCTTTCCTCTGAGCCATTCTATAGCCATGGCTTGGTCCAACAGCTAAACAAGTAAAACGCAGTATCAAAATAATGCACTGCCCTTATAAAGGGACATGCCAAGGAGCACAGAGTTCCCTCCCTGTGCAATCCAATTAATTTTTGCTTCTCCGGCAGCCTTATTCCAGCTTTCAGCACACGTGATTCCTAACTACGTCCTTACTGAAGGCCAAACCAGTTCTACAGCAAGACCAATTCATATTAAAAACACCAGCAGAGAACAATGATGAAAGAAACTCGAGCACTAGAAATTAATACCTTTCAGCACAGATGGGCTAGGGGACTTTTCAGACCGTGAAGTCAACCGAGCACAAGGCTTAAGTGCTGTAAAATAACTAATCCATCTGTGGCTATGTTATCATGATTCAGCCACCTGAAGACATGACATTCCTAGGAACAACGATTATCCAAGCTTTCTGCTTCTTTTTTCTGGCACGTTCACTGCATCCAGTTCAAGTGGCAGTTTCTAAATAACTGAATTGGAGTCTTCCCATCTCCAGAGACTGTTTTCTCACATGAGTAGAAATGACAACATAAAAGGTTAAGCAAAGGAGAACAAAATGAAAATCTGCAACCAAAGCCACACGTGGTACATGGCGTTACACACACTGGATTCGCAGCCCTGAGCTCCTTGCTGGTCAGCATTAGTGTCTTGGATGAAGGCAACAAAACAGACTTGGCAACCTGCCACACATCTGGATCACCCCACGTGAGGCCGTGCAGTGCAAAGCAGCAGAGCTGGCGAGCACCACCCGGGTGCTGCATTAGGGCACGTTGCCAAGGCCCGTTTGCTGCAGCAACAGAGGAGGTGGCAGCAGAGGTGGCCCTCGCACAGCCACAGATGGCAGTTTTCTCTGCCTAAAAGGCACCAGGAGCTTTGGCATCTTGCAGCGGGGCACCAGGCAGATCCTGGGCAGATCCTGTGCTGATGGGGAGGCGCTCGGGAGCACGGGGCACCTCAGGCTGCCTCCAGGAAGGAGGGAAGCACTGCGGGAAGATCAACCCTTCCAGCAGGTGGAAAACCCAGGGAGCGTGAGCAATGTGGCTGCCGCTCCCAACAAACCCTCAACAGGAAGGAATTCCGCCCCAGATTGGGGCCTCCGGACAGCTATGGCGGAGCTTTAGCACTAGGCCCTCAGAAAAATACAAGTGAAACATAGTCACTACGCTCACTGCCTAAATATTCTTGGCAGTTTATGCTGATCAGGATTATACCAGGGGGTTGGTCATTTTGCTTTTCTATCCAACTCACTAGATAGATCCAATCTTAATAAAACAAAAGCAAAGTAGCTGTAAGCCTTTTTCACAGTAAGATGGCCAGGTTTCACCTCCATCCTCAAAAACCTTAACAGAACACCATACAACTCCATTCCAACTCTGCCATAATTCATCCTTTTTATGAAAAAGGAAAAAAAGGCCACTACAGCCAAGAGGTACACAGCACCAAGGATACAAAGTCACAGACATCATCTCCACTGCATGGCTGCTAACTTTGCTGTACCAGCTTCACAGTTTTTGTCCTGATTTTTTTCCAACTTTGGGGAAAAAAATGCTGATCCCCACTTTAATGAACTGTCTAGAAGACGGGCTCTTCTATTACAAGGCTCCAAAGTCTTTTTCTTTAAGAACTTTCTAACTTCACAAATCTGTCCAAGTTTAATATTTTCATCACATTCTTCCTCCTTGATCCGCAGTCTCTCTCCTCCCCAGGATTTCACTTCACAGGCCAACCAAAGGCAATCAGCCTCCCCCTTGAGCCTTCTCCTTGCTGCAGGAGACTCACCTGAGCCAGGAAAAGCTTGGTTTCTGTGGCCCACTAAAGCCCCCCAACAAATCTGAAAGATCTCTGTTTTATACAGAATGCTTTTATGTGGATTCCCTCAACTTCAAAGTATTGGACTTTAAAGCATCAACTGGAAGTCAGCACAACGTCTCAACGGGCTGAGCATGACTCCCATCAAAGGACCAGCCAAGCAGCAATATTAATCACTCCCCATTAACAGTTTCCACACAGTTTTAGGATGGGATCATCTCATAACTGAGGTTTCTTGTATTTAACGGGTCTGTCCCACCTGACATGGGGGTAACAGGAGGGCTGCTCGCCTCGCTCCCTAGGCCGGGGCGCTCGCCCAGGCCCCCTTGTCCTGCACGGGGAACAAGGATGGGCTGTCGGGTTCACGTCTGCAGGGGCGCCCGCACCCCGTGAGCACGAACCAGGGAGGGCCCAGGTCAGTGAAGGCGACAACGGGCAGGGCAGGGGCAGCGCAGCCCTCTGGGCCGGGCAGCCCGGGCGCTGACTGCGCGCGTGCCCCGCGGGGCTGCTCCGGGCCGCGGCGGCCGGCAGC